TATATATATATATATATATATATATATATATATATATATATATATATATATATATAAAAAAATGTATTCCTATGATACAAAGCTATATTATATATTTCCATTCTAATGTATGGGGGGTGTGTGTATGTGTTTATATATATATATATATATATAAATTAATGCTTTTATTAATCAAATATGCATTAATCACAGTATGACAGTAAAACATTTATAATGTTACAAAAGATTCTATTTTTTAAATAAATGCTGTTATTTAGATTTTTCGATTTTCAAAAAATCCTGAAAAAAAAAGTTTTCTGAAAAATATGCAACAGCAAAACCTGTTTTTAACACTGATAATAATAAGAACCATTATTAAAAACTGAGCACCAATAATAACTGAGCAGCAAATCAGCATATTAGAATGATTTATGAAGGATCATGTGACACTGAAGACTGGAGATGCTGAAAATACAGCTTTGAACACAGGAATATATTACATTTCACTATATATTCACATAGAAAACAGTTATTTTAAATTGCAGTAATATTTCACAATCTTACTGTTTTTACTGTATTTTTGATCAAATAATGCTACATGTACTATATATATATACACACATATATGTATAGGTGTAATGAATTCTGTATATACAGTATATATATACATACAGATAATAGTTCATGACACCTGTCAATTTTGTGAAGGCTTCTATGCAACACAGCATTTTTAAATATAAAATAAACACCAGTCTTGTTTGTTTCTTGATTTGATTAAATCACATATTTGAAACCCTTATTGTTAATTATTATAGAAGGTACTTTAGTCATTAATTCCACTTCTGTATTAGTATAAGTACCTCTATGATTCCTAAGAAAGCACGACGTGTGCTTAATATTACAATACGAGGAAATTAGCACTCCCTTGTAAACACTCGAAGAAAAACCATGCCTTGCAATGAAAGCTGAACAGCTGTTTCCCGGTGTTGTGTGATGATGGTGTGGTGTGTCACCTGAGGAGCGCTGGTGGCCACCAGGAAGGCGTTGGTCCTGCCGGGATGGTCGTAATCATGCATGGCGGCTGCTACGTAGAGCGCCATCAGCTCCAGAGCGGGGATGAGGCCGGACAGACAGCTGTAACCCTCCTCCTCTACAGGATACGTCGTGGACATCAGGTACTTTGAGTGGCTGTGAGCGGGTCCACCGTCAGAGTCTATAGACAGAGAGAGAGAGAGAGTGATTAACAATCTTTATATCTCTTCAAAGCATTTCAGTTTGTTTCCCTGAAGTTCACTTATAATGTTAGTCAAGGTCTCATGCACCCACACTGTAAGAAATGATTTGAAGTTGTAAATAAAAGTGTATGTTTTACAAGAAAATACTATTTCAGTTCACATTTAATTCAATGTTTCACTTGCCAATTCTTTGTAATTGTGAAATTTACGAGCAATTTGTGTGAAAATTGTTTCTTAAGCCATTTTTTTGGTGTAAAACTACATTTTAGACAGAGAGAGCTCAACAAGCTGCAAACAGCACATGCAAACAGAAAAAACACCAGCAAATTAAGAAAACAACTTTGTCGGTTTGATAACATAGGTGCTGCAAATACTCACAAAACAACCAAATACAGAAACGCGCTGCAAAGAGCACAGACCACAACGGACATGTTTCAAGAGGATCGCTACAAGTGACGAAATTGGCTGGGACATATTGCATATCTAATCGATCACCTGCAAGGTGTGTTTTTGGTTATTTTAACATCCTGATCTGTATTTGGTCATGTTGTGAGTATTGCAGCGTGTTTCTGTATTGGCTTGTGTTATGAGAATTTGCAGCACACGAGTTGTCAAACTGATTTTCTTATTTGCTGGTGCTTTTTCAATTGGCATGTGTTTTCATCAGTTGCAGCATGTTGAGCTCTCTGGACCACCGTATAAAACACTCAATTTAATTTTCATTATCTGTCTCTCACAATTAATCACTGAAATACATTTGCTGTAGGATTTACTTTACTAAATAATGACAAAGAAATGGCAAGTAACATATTGGATTAACTCAAGTAAATCAGAACGACTGAAATGGTATTGAAACGTAAAGGTATGAAACATATTCCAATAATCTTTATTCACTTAAATAAAACTTATTTTGCAGTGCATATGTAAATGAGCTTTGGTGTATACATATGAAAACCGCATAATAGGTATTCTTCATAAATAATTATATTATTGTTATTAATTTCAATTCTTATTTTAAACAAAAACAACAAATTACAAACAAATATATATAAAGCTTTTTTATTTCATCTAGTTGGCAAGGCAGCACTTCTCAACATGTACTAAAAATAAAAATCAATAAATACATATAGAGATAAAAAAAGAAAAAAAAGACAAAAACATGACAAAATAACTACAACTAAAATTGAAATGAAAATTAAGTACCTCTATGATTCCTAAGAAAGCACGACGTGTGCTTAATATTACAATACGAGGAAATTAGCACTCCCTTGTAAACACTCGAAGAAAAACCATGCCTTGCAATGAAAGCTGAACAGCTGTTTCCCGGTGTTGTGTGATGATGGTGTGGTGTGTCACCTGAGGAGCGCTGGTGGCCACCAGGAAGGCGTTGGTCCTGCCGGGATGGTCGTAATCATGCATGGCGGCTGCTACGTAGAGCGCCATCAGCTCCAGAGCGGGGATGAGGCCGGACAGACAGCTGTAACCCTCCTCCTCTACAGGATACGTCGTGGACATCAGGTACTTTGAGTGGCTGGGAGCGGGTCCACCGTCAGAGTCTATAGACAGAGAGAGAGTGATTAACAATCTTTATATCTCTTCAAAGCATTTCAGTTTGTTTCCCAGAAGTTCACTTATAATGTTAGTCAAGGTCTCATGCACCCACACTGTAAGAAATGATTTGAAGTTGTAAATAAAAGTGTATGTTTTACAAGAAAATACTATTTCAGTTCACATTTAATTCAATGTTTCACTTGCCAATTCTTTGTAATTGTGAAATTTACGAGCAATTTGTGTGAAAATTGTTTCTTAAGCCATTTTTTTGGTGTAAAACTACATTTTAGACAGAGAGAGCTCAACAAGCTGCAAACAGCACATGCAAACAGAAAAAACACCAGCAAATTAAGAAAACAACTTTGTCGGTTTGATAACATAGGTGCTGCAAATACTCACAAAACAACCAAATACAGAAACGCGCTGCAAAGAGCACAGACCACAACGGACATGTTTCAAGAGGATCGCTACAAGTGACGAAATTGGCTGGGACATATTGCATATCTAATCGATCACCTGCAAGGTGTGTTTTTGGTTATTTTAACATCCTGATCTGTATTTGGTCATGTTGTGAGTATTGCAGCGTGTTTCTGTATTGGCTTGTGTTATGAGAATTTGCAGCACACGAGTTGTCAAACTGATTTTCTTATTTGCTGGTGCTTTTTCAATTGGCATGTGTTTTCATCAGTTGCAGCATGTTGAGCTCTCTGGACCACCGTATAAAACACTCAATTTAATTTTCATTATCTGTCTCTCACAATTAATCACTGAAATACATTTGCTGTAGGATTTACTTTACTAAATAATGACAAAGAAATGGCAAGTAACATATTGGATTAACTCAAGTAAATCAGAACGACTGAAATGGTATTGAAACGTAAAGGTATGAAACATATTCCAATAATCTTTATTCACTTAAATAAAACTTATTTTGCAGTGCATATGTAAATGAGCTTTGGTGTATACATATGAAAACCGCATAATAGGTATTCTTCATAAATAATTATATTATTGTTATTAATTTCAATTCTTATTTTAAACAAAAACAACAAATTACAAACAAATATATATAAAGCTTTTTTATTTCATCTAGTTGGCAAGGCAGCACTTCTCAACATGTACTAAAAATAAAAATCAATAAATACATATAGAGATAAAAAAAGAAAAAAAAGACAAAAACATGACAAAATAACTACAACTAAAATTGAAATGAAAATGGAAAATATAAAAATAAAAGATCAAAATAGAATAAAATATAAAAAGCTTTTATTTCAGCTAGTTGACAAGGCAACATTAATTTTGTTTAACTTGATGTACTAAAACTGAAATAAAAATGACTAAATACATAGATGTATAGATTTATATATATAAAAAAAAAACTACAAAAAAGACAAAACTGCTAAAACATTTACTAAAATTGAAATGAAAACATAAATATATAAATAAAAACTGATTCAAACATGAATAAAACTATAACAGTATCTTTCTTAATGATACTAAAATAACAGTGATGCCTCACAGGACCATGGTGTTACATTTATTAACATAGATAACATGAGCATATAAATTTAAACATATGAAAGTACACATATCTAGTCTATATAAAAAGAAGTAATCAAACTAAATATATACTTTTGACTTACAGGCATTAAATAATTTCCACTGTATGTACTTATTAACCCGTCCAAACTGTAATAAAGTGTGATTCTTACCCGAGTCACTCAGTGATGCCAGTGTAGGTAAACCAGGCACAGGCTGGGTAGTGAGGTACCAAACCGCATGGAGGACGTCTGTGGCATGAATCCTGTTGTGATCTGTGGAGGAAGACTAGGTTTAATACGATAAACTAGCACTAGAGGGAGACACAACACACCACAAAGAAGCAGAACTGATGATTTAGAGCTATTTACTCCTCTGGAGGAGAAGCTGCCTTGCGCACAGCAGCTGTTGTACATCATCAGTTATTTCATTGTTAACATATTTCTGTACACATGTCTCCTGCAGCAGAGGACTCACATGGGATGTCCCTGTATCCGTTCTCCAGAGCGTGGAAATAGTTCATGAACTCCCTCACTGGAATCTTGAATGTCTCAAAGAGTCCCGTGTCCACAAACAACCGGTAAGACACCTAAACCAAAAAAAAGCTTAAAATCCCTCAACCACGTCTGAAATTACACAAAAGGTTCCAAACAATAATGCTATGGGTTCTCAAAAGGACATATGATTTTAATATTCGAGTCTCGTACCGGCAGGGATTGTAGGTGGGGGGAGTGAATGTACAGCGCTCTCTCCCACCTTCAATACCACGACTGAGGTGCCCTTGAGCAAGGCACCGAACCCCAACTGCTCCCCGGGCGCCGCAGCAAAAAAATGGCAGCCCACTGCTTCAGGTGTGTGTTCATGGTGTGTGTGTGTTCACTGCTGTGTGTGTGCACTTTGGATGGGATAAATGCAGAGCACTAATTCCGAGTATGGGTCACCATATACTCCACTAGATGTCAGTGTCTCACCTGGCTGAGGATGCAGCCACATCTGCCGTTGGTTCTCTCCACCAGACTGAAGATGGGGAAGTTCCAGTTGTTGATCTGACTCATGAGGGGCTCCAGGCCCTCCATCACCAGCGGCTCCGGGGCCAAGATGGGCTTATCCTGCAGAGGAAATGATTTCAGATCACGGACTGTGCCATCTTACAACAAAAAACCCACTAGACATAACTGGAATTACAAAAAATATAAAAAAATCAAGTGGCACATATGAAACTACTACAGAGAGTAGTTAAAACAGCATATAACACAAAAAGAGTCTGTCAACAAACCACAGCGAAAACAAATCAAATGCTCAGTTCTGATGACAATTTGATGACAGTTTAGTTCTACTGGAACAAACAAACCCTGAGAACTGCACGTAATGCTTATTTATTTACTAAGCTATTGCCGTAGTTTTGTGCATTATCTGCAGACTGCGTGCATACTGCATATTTTATGCAACACTTTATACAGTGTATTTTTACTGCTTGTAGGTCCTCTAACACTGACCAGAAAAAAAGATGAAAAATACAATACAATTAAAAGTAAATATGCACTATACACTAACATTCTTTTTTATTATTTAACTAAATGTATTATTTAATCATAATTTCAGCCATATAATTATCCTGGCCTCAACCTTTAGACATATAAAGTACAAAAAAACAAAACATAATATGACATCTAATAATATCTAGTATTGTGGCTGATGTAATAAAACATTAGCAAATAAAATATACACAAAGTTGCAAAATTTTAATAAACAACCATTTTATACTTGTTTTTTAAACTTTAATTATATAATATAAGAAAAATATTTTTAAAAACATATAATTAAAAAAAGAGAAAATGTGATCTATGCATTGACATTTATTGTTTAATAAAATACAGTATTGAATCATTAACATTTAATCATCCTGGCCCTTTAGACGTAAAAACAATGCATAAAAATATTCAAAGAAAATAAATAAATAAATAAATAAAACGATTATTCTAGAACGACTAGTTTTGATGACAGTATGATGACAATCTGATGATCAAAAAAAAAAAAACCCAGAGTAGTGCATGTAAAACACTTATTTATTATGCAATTGATGTATGTTTGTGCATTATAGATTTTATGCAGCTCTTTATACTGTATAATTTTACTGCTTGTAGGCTTGTAACACTGACAGGAACCCCCCCCCCCCATCTACCTGCCTAAACTAAACTGCAGTGATAAAAAATCAATTTGTCCTGCAAAAGCGGTGTTTACCTCTGGTGGGATGAGAGCAGCCAGTGCGAGCGCCGGAGACGGGAACGTCCCGCAGGCTTTCATGCGACCCTCTCCGTCTTCCTCGTTCAGTGCAAAGTCGCTGCGGTCACTGTGGTTGGTCTCATAGTCTGACGACATTATCAGCGGCTCGTCTGCAAGGTTATTAAAAAACCTGATTACGCGTCTCGTCATGTTTCACGTTCGAGCAGACTGACAGCTCTGAAAGACTCGTGAAGACACCAATTACATATTAATTCAGAGATACAATCCAGGATCGAGCTGTAATATCACAGATCACAACAGCAAAATGGATAATAAGTGAAATGCATCTAAATGCTAATTCAGAAACGCACATGACGGTGGCGATACCTGACTGTTGGGTTCGATCTCCAGCATCTATGGATCCTTCCACGTGTCTCAGTTTACCGTACGGTCTTCCACAGCTACAACACACACAACAGACCATTCACATCAAATCAATTAATCATACATAAACGGAGTAAATCAAACTCCAAAATCATTTTCACGACCAATCAAGTCCCAATGGATAAAATCAAATCACATTCTCTTTCTTTCTCTTTTTTGCCGTCTTATTTATTCCATGTTTAATGAAAGGTTTTTGCAGTTTATCAACAGCTACAACAACAACAACAAAAACACCAATTTACTTTCTCAGTATATTATCCTGGTTTTATTGTGCATGATTTATCAGTTAATGTTATTACAAATAAATTAATAATGAATAAATAAGTAAATAAAAAAAACTTATAGCAAATTCCATAAATTTCACTTTATTTATTTGTTTTATTAAAGTTTTTTGCTGTTATTTTCTTGTGCTGCATTTTAACAACAACTAATAATAATAATAATAATTTACTTTTTCAGTACATTCCTGGTCTTATAGTGCATGATTTATCAGTTAATATTTATTTCATGTTTTATTTGCAACTACAAATAATAATAATAATAATAATAATAAAAACAGCTATTTGCTGTCATCACATTTCATAATTTTTACAATCAATTAAATTTTAAATCACTGGGAATTGAATCAATTCCCAATCTCCTTTGTTCCCCTCACAGAATGTTCTCCTGTTTCACTAAGAAATAAGCCACATTATGAAACAAAAATGCGTTGCGAATGCCATTTCATGTTGACTTCGGGAACATTCCTTTAAGAACAAGAAAAAGACACTATCTATCATCGCAGGCACTGGAATCTGTTCATTATGCTTCATGTTTTTATGCTTTATGAGTTAGGAGAGGCAGGAAACGGCTGATGCGTGCATACTGTATGCATTTCATGATTGCATATTTTAATATTTTGCATTGAAATTGAGAGGCGTCCTCTCTGGGTGACTAACCCCTGATGATATGTGCTGTACACGTGTGTGTGTGTGTGTGTGTGTGTGTGTGTGCAGGACCAGCCATTGCCACTGTTGTTTAGTTGAGCTCTCTGAATTAACGGGCCAGACAGAACCTAATCAAGCTGTTTCTCTGTGCCCAGCATTCATTACAGGTCAAGGGGAAGGTGACCTTGTCCCATCGCCAGGACATTAGTGACCACTGTGAGTAAAACCTATAGAGAGAGAGAGAGAGAGATCTGACCGTGTTCGTCCATCTGTTAATATTTAGACACAATGTTGGACATTTTTCACAGTTAATGATCAGTGGTTGTTCAGTAACCACATAATGGCTTGAAGCTGCAGTCCGCTCTTGTACAACATCCAGGGCCACAGGATACGTTCAGATCTTTGGAAACAGTGACTGGAGTGATGAATTGGGCTCAAAATGAATATTAACTAGCTGTCTGTTCTCAAAATTACTCATTAGTAGTCCTGCAAGGAATCCAAACAAGCAAAATTCCTCAAAAAGAAAAAATGGACACATTTCCCAGTACACTTAAAATGACGTGCGCAACTGCGGTCAATCCTATTGTTTGGGTAACTCTTTAATAAAAGGCTGGCCTTTTTACAACTCATATCGTGTGTTCTCTCAGCAATATCACTGAAAAACTACTTGTAAAACAACATTTGCACATATTTAAAGGCAAATGAAGTGAATATAATAACTAGACTGGAGTATAATAACAGTTCTAAATTAAATTACAACAAGAGTTGTTATTAAAATCAGATATGACAAAATTAAGTATGAGAAAGATATTCATATGCAAATGATTAATATGCAAATATAAAATTATGGTTTTGTGGGTGCTACACCTGCATTTGTTTATTAAATATTTTGTGTAATGTAATAAAAAATGCTTCATTTTTTTTAACAAACATAGATACAAAAATAAATATTTCAAGTATGAGAATTCACTTAATATACAAATATGAAATTATATATTTAAGTTCTGTGGACACTACATCTGCATGTTTATTAATCAATATTTTGAAAATTATAATAACAATTCATTTTAAATAAATTGCAATGAGTGTTTTTAACAAACATAGATATGAAAATTAATATTTCTAGAATAAGAATTAAATTATTTATATGAAAAAATAAAATCATAGTTTTGAGTTTTGTGAACGGTCTACCTGAATATTTGTTTATTAAATATTTTGTAAAATATAATGTCATACCTTACAGCAAGAATGAATATGAAATGAATATTTAAATTATAAGAATGAGATGATTAATACACAAATGCAATTATAGAATAGATGTTTTGTGGACGCGACACCTGCATGTTAATTTATTAAATATTTTTGGATAATTTTACAATGCTTTTGGATCCCAAAGCTCTGCTTTAAACATTAAATGAATTTCCCTCAAAAAAATCAGTGCACAAATGTGTGAAGCTCAACAGAATGGTGGGGTTTTACCTGCTACAAAGTGGAGGCGGCACCCATTGTGAGGTGCTGGAGATGGGGGCGCTCTGACTGTGGGTTAAGGCTTTGTGGGGGCTCCGTGGTGGCGAGCCGTCGCCCGGCGGAAGCTCTGTGTCCGGCAGCTCCACTGAAGGGCTTTTGTTGGTGGGGCTAGTGAGCGGAGTGCCCTGGACTGGAGGGGAGTTGCAGGGTGAAGCCAGAGGTGAGATGTTGGAAGAAGGGTAACCTGTCAGAGAGCAGAGGAATCACACTGGCACTGCCAGATCCCATTTATCTCCTTTCACTCAACACACACATACACACACACACACACACACACACACTCTCACACACACAGCGCTGTACCTCTTCGGCTCTTGCTATAGATGTGGTTGGTGGCGGAGGAGGCAGCGTATGAAGCCGACATGGACCTGCTCTTGGAAAGGCCGAGCATAACCGAGTTGTTCCATGAATCACTGTTCACCAAACTGTAAGAGAGGAGAAAACGCATGATTGATATTTCATGGTTTTACCTATTAATGTTGATTTATTGCCAAAGAGATGCTGGTTTTGTTGTTTAGACTCCAGTGCAGTGGTATTTTAGTGTGCATACATACACACGGCATAACCTTTTTCCTCTCAAAAGGCGAACTTTTTGCACTTTTTCTGGGGTTAAAACAGTCCAAGTGGCTTATTTTGGGAGAGGGATTTAAACTTGATTTTTCCCAGATCCCATTTATCTCCTTTCACTCAATACACACATACACACACACACACACACACACACACACTCTCACACACACAGCGCTGTACCTCTTCGGCTCTTGCTATAGATGTGGTTGGTGGCGGAGGAGGCAGCGTATGAAGCAGACATGGACCTGCTCTTGGAAAGGCCGAGCATAACCGAGTTGTTCCATGAATCACTGTTCACCAAACTGTAAGAGAGGAGAAAACGCATGATTGATATTTCATGGTTTTACCTATTAATGTTGATTTATTGCCAAAGAGATGCTGGTTTTGTTGTTTAGACTCCAGTGCAGTGGTATTTTAGTGTGCATACATACACACGGCATAACCTTTTTCCTCTCAAAAGGCGAACTTTTTGCACTTTTTCTGGGGTTAAAACAGTCCAAGTGGCTTATTTTGGGAGAGGGATTTAAACTTGATTTTTCCTGCCAACTTTAAAAAATGGGAGCGAACAGGCCTCCTGCTGTGGGAACACTCTTCAGATATCCATTAAGAAGCTGCGCAGGAGACCAGCCACTTTAAAACCAGCCTCAACATGGTCATGCAGGCAACCGTGTGACCCTCCATTTTTCACCGGGGCTTTTATTTCAAAAGGGCCCGAATCTAAACACGACCCGGGCTCTCGGGTCTCCAGGAAGCCTCTTTAAACTCTCTGTCTACACAGTGCAGATGGCTATCTGGATATCAGTATTAATGGGCTGAACTTTAGCTGGTCTGTATAACTCAAGCTGAAATAAGAGGTAGAAAGGTGGAGAAATGCCCAAAGATGGACATTATAAAATTTGAATCAAACATTCAGACGGAGTGAGTAAGGCAGCGTGGAGGAGCTCTGGAAAGTTCAAGCGCTTGACGGCGATCCGCAACAGCTGTGTGAGACACTAACGTACGAGACAATGATGACAAACAAAACAAAATGAGGGCAAACGGATAAAAGTGCTGTCCGTGGACTCATATTTTCAGAAAGTATGTATTATTGCTTCAAAACACTTCATGAGTCACATACAGCGGCCCGGGAAGTGTTTGGACAAATTGCATTAAATTATAAAATATCACATCAGTTTAGACTGCACAAGTGTACTTCTCAAGCGAAACGTTTCATGAACAAGGTGTTTGTTAGGTTTGAAATAATAAAACAACACATAAAATGCTTTAAAATTAAGCAACTGGACGCTTTTGTGTATGTGAAGCGTTTCTCTGCTAGGACTACTCTAGGTCTTCAGACATCCACTAAAAATCACTAAAACACCAAAGACACTGAACAAAAATGAAGCAAGGTGAAGATGGTGAAAATGGCGATTCTGCAGCATTTGAGATACAGACATATTTTGCAATGACATTCAGTCATTTTAAGTGATCTGGGCTGGTCAACAAACGCATGAAGAAACACTTAAAGCTCGATGCTATCACCATATCAAACCTCTGCAGTGAATCAGCTGTGTGGACTCTCATTCTGACGGCACCCATTCACTGCAGAGGATCCATTGATGAGCAAGTGATGTAATGCTACATTTCTCCAAATCTGTTCTGATGAAGAAACAAACTCATCTACATCTTGGATGGCCTGAGGGTGCTGCAAACTTGAGTACATGAGTACATTTCAACAAATTTTCATTTTGGGTGTGCTATTCCTTTAAGTTGTGTTCATTTGTGAAGTTGTGCAAGTTAGTCTAAAGGTAAACACGGATTGCCTGAATAAGAAAGGAGTGTTTATTACCTGCTGGAAGGGCCATCATGAGGTGCTTTGATGCTGGCACTGCGGTCCCATCTGACCGGCCCGGGTTCGAGGGTGGGCAGGCCCGTGGCTGAGGTGGTGGTGGTCCACGGGGAAGAAATCCGTCTCAAAAGCCCCGGATGCAAACTCCGCCTCAAACGCTGTTATTTAAAGAGAGCATACATCAAGTTTAGACTAAAACAATGTTGACAGCGCAGCAAAACACTTAGATTCACAAATTCTCCGCTAAGGTCAGTTTTGAAGCTTGTCAAAAGTCACATCACCAATTACAATCAATTAACACTGACCCAGACAGAATAAAGCCACATGTGTTTGACAACCCAGAGCCAAATTAACACTTTTTGGCAGTGCAGTCGTTAAACAAAGTGCTTGTTTGGATTGCATTTTACGTAAATGATGTAAATCTTAGCGAGTGTGTGTATTTCGAGAGCGAGTCTATGCGTTAAGCCAAACATCTGAGGGCGGCAGATGACAGCGGTCCGTCAGGGAATACTGAGCCCTTCTCCCAGCTGGGAAAAGGGGAACAGAACAGATGGAAGACCCTGGAGTAATGCATCATCGCATTTCTTCTTTACATCACAAGCTGTGAACCAATCAAAAGGCTTGGCTGATACGGCACGTTTGTGTGGTATGAAACAGACTAGATAAATGCACTTAAAGGGACAGAACACTCAAAAAATCAACATCCTGGCATCATTTACTCAGACGAAAGAAATGCATAGAGGTTTGAAACTTACATAAAAATTAATAAAAACGATATAGGCATATTTAAAACAATTACAAAACACACTAAGACAACTAAAGCATTAACTAAAATTAAAAGTAAATATAAAATATAAATAAATATTAAAAAGCAAAATATAAAAAATGTAAATAAAAAGGAATATAATTAAAATAGAAATGAAACCAATTCAAAATATTAATAAAAATATATATGCATATTTTAAAAAACAACAACACACACAGCACTAGAACTAAAACTTTAACATTAACATTAAAATTATTTAAAAAATATTAAACAATTAAAAATAAAAATTCAAATATAAATTAATATAGCTAAAATATTAAAATGAAACCCAATTAAAATATTCATAAAACTATAACTGTATCTCAGTTATACTAAAATAGCACTGGAGTTAAGTAAATGACAACAATTTCAGTGCAATGTAAAATAAACAAAAAAAAACATTTAGTTTAACTTGATGCACTAAAGTAACTAAAACTTACATAAAAACGAATAAAAATGATTAAAAACATAATAAACATAAAACACATCGACATAACTAAATATAAAATATTACAAAATATGCAAAAAATTATATTACAAATTAAAATCTATATGAATATATTTCAACTATAAAAATAATAATATTAATAATAATAGCATCCCAATTACACTAAAATAACAGTAAATGATGACTATTTTCAATTTTGTGTGGATTAATATTCAAAGTAATGCAATATTCAAAGTAATGCAATGCAGATTACAGTACAGTATAGCGAAAATTAAAGTAACTGTCGGACAGTTTTCTCTAGCAGGCCAACTAGCGTCATGGAGAAAAAATTGTTTGGAGAGAATTTTGCTGAGAAAGTTTCAGCATGTTTGGCATCTGAATAACACATCTGGTTTAATGGCACATTTAATATATTTCAAAGAAACTCTAGAACGGTAACACATCACTTGCACTGCATTGGTTAATGCTTTTATCTGCATTTGCGTATCAAAGTTAAGTATGTTTTTGATTATATAAAATTGCACAATGGTGCACAAAAAGTTTGAGAACAGTCAGAGCAGGGAAGAAACTCTCCTGAGAGCAGCATGAATATTTCAGATGCAGTGCAGGGCTCCAGCCCACGTAGAGAAGCAGAGGGCACATCCGCACGCCCCAACCCTAATCTCCCAACCGCTCAGAGTGCATGCCCTAGGCAATCTGGGAGACCAGCATTGTCCTACTACAGACAGATGGGGTGAGCGCCGGGGTCAGAAGTCACAAATCGCATGTGTATTTTTAGCTCAGGAAAATTCTCATGCAACAATCTGTAGCCACAAACATGAAAACATCTGTGCAATACGAGCGCCTGATATTAATTCAGCCGGAGGTGCTGTCAGCTGGAGTTGGGAGGAACATGTTTGAGTGGATGTATTGTCTGAGAAGGTGCTCGGGACGTGCGTCTCCTCTCCTGCCGTGGCGTCTCTCTCTCACACAGACAGACAGCGCTCAGGCGTCTGTGAGCAGAGTCTCGTCCGATCAGGGTTCTGCAGTGTCCGATTGAACCATCTTCTCCAGCTGGTGTGACAGCTTAGAGATTTGTTTCCTATCACAGTCTAAACTAACCTATATAAGGGAATCTCATGAAACCCCGTCAAGAACATGTCTGGATATTCAATTAAATAAAAATTAAGCTATTTTAGGATTATTAAGGTGCATTATGCTACAATTTCCTTAAAAATTAAGGATATCTAACCCCCAAATTCTTTACTACAATATATTGCAAAATTATCACAATTTAAAAACTGTATGATCTCAATTGGTATGCAGATAAGATAATAAGATATATTATTTAAACGATCAAGCAAATATACATCATGGTAGTATTTTTTTTTTTTTATTATTTATTGTTATTATTATTATTAATTAAAAAATTAAATTACTTCTACTGCATTAATGTGCTTAATTGTCAATCAACATGTGACATTTACACTTCAAATTATTAACCATATTGCAAAATTATCACAATTTAAAAACATTGTTTTATTTACTGGAATGCAAAACAAAAAATTATACAAAAAAAAAAAAAAAAAAAAAGACATTATGGCAGTATTTTTTGTGCTACCTTTATACTGTTTTAAAATATTATTAATCTAATATTATTATTATTATTATTATTTTTATTAATGAAAAAATACTGTATTAATGTGCTTAATTGTCATTCAATATTCTAAATAAATACAATTATTAAATCTATTAAAAATAAAATATAAAATATAAAGTAAAATAAAATAAAATAAAGAAGATGCATCATTTGCATCACATACGATAAAACATATTACAAAACATAATTTACTATTATTAACTTTTTTGACCTTTAATATTGGGATGTAACACGACCCTTGACAGGTTTTTCATGATTTGCCAAATATCTTCATCATATGGTTTAAAATTAATGATCTAATACCAGTTCATGCTACCAACACACAAAAAAGCAAAGCAATACATCACCCGCAGAGCCTCCCTTCAATAAGATGGTACATGCAAATTTTCCAGCAACCCCTTAAGCATTTTTGCACAAACTAGCCTCCTACAGCGAACTCAAATCACAGCCTCAACACCAGCTCACAGCATCAGTCTTCTCATTCGTAATCATTTTGTCATTTTGCAGCAAAACACCAGTGATTACAGGTATAAAAAAAAAATCTCAAAAGATGTGAAATTGCAATTTTATTGAATATATATATATATATATATAAAAAAGAAAAATGTTATGACTTTACTCCTCCATGCTTTACTTTTATGTATTGTAGGTAAAATATTTTATATTGGTGCACATTATGTATTATTTTAATAATTTGTTACTATTTATAAATTTTTTATTATTTTAACTATATTTATTTAACAAGTTTTAAAAAGCATGCCTTGTGTTTATTTAGCTTTGATCAGATTTATACTTGCACTAAACATTTTCAATTAGTTTATATATGCGTGTATATATATATATATATATA